ATTACAGTATAGTATAGTACAGTACAATATAGTATAGTATAGTATGGAATAGTACAGTACAGCATAGTATAGTATATTACAGTATAGTATAGTACAGTACAATATAGTATAGTATAGTATAAAATAGTACAGTACAGTTTAGTATAGTATAGTACAGTATAGTATAGAATAGTACAGTACAGCATAGTATAGTATAGTATAGTATATCACAGTATAGTATAGTAGAGTACAGTACAATATAGTATAGTATGGTACAGTATATTATAGTATAGTATAGAATAGTACAGTACAGTGCTGTACATTATAGTGTAGTACAGTATAGTATAGAAAAGTATAGTATAGAATAATATAGTAAAGTAAGTACAGTATAGTATAGAATAGAATAGTATAGTATAGTACAGTATAGTATAGAATAGTATAGTATAGTATATTGCAGTATAGTATAGTATAGTATAGTATAGTACAGTACAGTAAAGTATATTATAGAACAGTATAGTATAGAATAGAATAGTATAGTATAGTATGATGTAATATAATACAATATTGTTGGTTGTGAGGAAATATAAAGGAACATTCAACATTTTTTAAGGTTATTATTTTTGGAAGTCCTTAAAATGTAATGTTGGTGAAGATTCTCATTCATCCAGGTCATAGTCATTCCAACAAAGTTAAAAAAAAAAAAATCCACGGGAATTTGTTTCAAAGTTTGAAGATGTTTCACTTCCCATCCAGGAAGCTTTTTCATTACAAAATGTCAGAATTAGCGTTGAGTTAAAAAAACGTATGTACCATTGAATAAAGGCGTTTTCTTTCATGGAAAAACAAATTATTGGTTTATAATAAAAAATAAATAATCTACAATTTATAATTTCCAAAAAGTTATTATTCATGTATGACGTTTCAATAATACATCCAAGTGTCACCTGTTATTAGGCAATATAAAAAGAAAACACTATTATACACTGACTACTTTTACAGACAATTTTTTTTCCATGTCCCATTTAAGTTAATAGTTCTTAAATAATCTGACTGGATGATCTGGCTGAATTGTCTGTAAAGTGCCTTGAGATGACATGTGTTGTGAATTAGCGCAATATATAAATAAATAGAAAATGAACGCAAGTCAAATGAACTTATGTAACTATAATAAACACAAGTTGAAAAATCTTCGTCTCGCTTAAATAAGATATAATCAAAACAAAAAGTTTTACAAAATATGTTTTGGAACTGTATTGTTGTTTTACTGCAGCACAAAACCTACTAATACAGTAAGGGCAATTAACTACTAGGAGCTTTGCTGTAAACAGGTAGCTCTAATTCCCAGAGGAATCCACGACTAATCAATTATAAACACCATAGAGTACACTGTACTTTAGCAGTTTAAATCACAGAAACATTAGTAAAAATAATTTCTCTTTATTGATATAAGTGTTTAAGCATTTCTCACATGAAATTTAACCTCACGTCAAGAACTACAGTATTAAAGATAATAATAATCACAATAATGACCATATTTTATGAATCACTTTAAAAAATATTTGTTTTTTCAATAAAAAAAAGAATAAAAACTCTACCAAAAATTACTTTTGAAATTAATTCAATCAGGAACCAATATGTTTAGAATAGTAAAAAACTGAAAAATAATATCAATAGTACAAACAGGTTATTGCAGGACTATTCATAAAATTATAACAGCTTGTTATAGATGTGTAGAACTTGTATACAATAAAAATGTGAATAAAAATAAAGAGCACTCAATAACTGCAATAAAGCTAGAGTTTAAAAAACGTTTTGATTTTGTAAATAACACATTAATAAACCTTGAGTGACGCGCCCTTTAGAGGGGCGTGATGTGTTTTAGCACCATGGCCAGCGACACCGTTGCTAGGTAGCCGTTTGTGTCAGCAAGTCGTGAACTGTAAAGAAACGCGGCGTTTTATAGAAACCTGGATAAGTCGAGCAGCCTTTCTCCCTCTTTAATAGTCCTCTGTTTCTTATTTTTAGCTCAATTCATTCCAAGAGAAGTAGAGTAAGTTTAGTGTCTGATTTTGCCATACTGCGAACATAAACTTCAGCCGAACCCCCCTCTGAGAAAGACCTATTGGTTTCGCCCAGGGACTCGCTCCAGCACTCACGGCAGACAACAGTGCTACAACACAGTGATTGTATATTATAACGTATAAATTAAACGTCAGTTTTTAGTAGTAATGGCGTAAAAACACCACAAACTCAGAGTGGTCTTAAAAAAAAAAAAACACTGTTTGAAGGAGACACATTTACCGATGAGAGCTCAGTGTCCATAAATGGCAGCTGTGCAGTCGGAGAGAGAGGGACGAGGTAAAGATCTGCACTGGAATAAATAAGGTAAACGTTAACGGTTTGTTTCACGTGAGCAGTTGTTGCTAAGCTAACTGCAGAGCAGTCCGGTGTCATTTATAATTAATCATCAGGCGGTATCTTACTTAACGAAAATACACTATCTTAATTAAAATGCATCTCTTATTTGTTGTCATTCGTCGACATTAAGGGGGTTGTACGCTGGAAGCTAACAGGATGACACATTTGCTTTCCTTTTCTTCCACCTGACCTATGTGAGTAGCTAGCATCCTGATGTTAGCAAGCCAATGCTAGCAGCTCACTCATGGTAATAACAACACCCCTGCTTAAGATGTGGAAGATTTTCTTCTTGCACGAAAAAAGAGCCTCAGCAGGTCAGATTAAATGAGTTTATGCTTAGGTTGCAAAATGGACAAGAAGCAATAAATCCAGAGAAAGGGGGGGATGGCCTTCAATCCTTCCAGTGATCTGGAAGATACCACATTGACTTCTTGCTGAGAAAGGCTCTGGATTTTGCAGCACTGGCACTTCGCAGGCTGGCATTACAAGCTCATTTCATAAATCTGTCTTTAACTCATCAGCTTTTTTTCTTTTCTTTTCTTTTTTTTGTTGTTGCTTTTTTGCAGCAGAACAATAATCACCCAGAGATTGACTAATTATATGAAATATATGGTGTTTAGAGATTTGATTTATTCAGTCCTGCCTGTAGTATAGCTCTCCATCTACAAACCACATGCTGTAGATGACCAGCTCTGACAGAGCTGATGGATTATATAAAATGTGAGCTTAGCAGAAATCATGGCTGACATCCTTCCTTATGGACTTCATTAAGCATTAAGTGTGAGATGAACAGGATATTTAAAATAGTTTTGCTCTTTTAGGCTTGTATTGGAATACAAATGTTTGCTTTACATCTCAGGATATTAACAGTAATGCTGCTAATACTGTATAGGGAAGGTCTTAGATCACCCTGCTATAATTATAGATTGTGATATACACACCATATCTGTTCAATTTTAATGCATCTCTGTTTGAGCGTTATCCACTTATCCACGTCACTTTGAGATTTTACTTTTGAAACCATTTGAAACAGCAATCAACAACAGGCTTTCTATGATCAGTTTGATTTAAATATAATTGTTGACTACTAACATGATAATTTTAATTATGTAATGGTAATTGTAAATGGCCTGTATCTGTATATAGCATTTTTATCAAGTTCAAGGACCAAAGGACCATGTGCTTTACTACATTCAGTCATTCATCGCTTAATGCTTTTTCACTTAATCATTCAAATATATTGTCTGTCCTCTATGTTATTTTTTTGTTTTCTAATTTGATATCCAGTACCTCTGATATTTGAGACAATGATATTCAGGATCAAGCCTTATAACAAGTTATTACAAGTTTTATGGCATATATTCATAGTGCGCAATATTCCCTTTCCTGTTCTCTGCAAAAAAACATATTTTAGTCACTTTTTAAATAACTCCCAGCTTATTGCTGGTCTTGTTTTCTGGCCTTTTTTAAGCAGCAGACTTGCCAGTAATTTCCAGCTGTATCCCTCTAACCAATAGCAGTAAACATAGATGCATGCAAACTCTTCATGTTGTGATATTGCTGTTTTATATATTTCCAATTGGAATTGTGGCTAATATAAATGCTTACTGGATAAAAATAAGTTTAACTTGAAAATATTTTGAAGCTCTGAAAGTTTAAAGGATTATTTTAGGGAAAAAAAACAGTGTGTGGTGTAACTGTGTATTTCAGTACCCCGTGGGATGATAGCTCCTACACTTGTTTCTCTCCTTAGCTAGAAAGAGAGACAAAGGCAGAGTTGGTTACCAATTTTTTGGTTCATTAGAAATTCTAAGTAACACTTTCTACTGTTAACATTTGTTTTTGTCTATGTTTTTGTTCATTTACGAACATGTCTATTTATTTATATATCTTGAATGCTTTAATCACTTTACATGACAGTTGATGTATCCGATATGCAGCTAATCAGGTTTATGTTGCCTCTGTGACAAAACTGGTATTGCTGTATCCTTCTTTCTTATAGTTAGTTAAGATTTAGTGATGCAATTACAGCATGTTTGTCCCTTTCCTATCATTATTTTCTCTTAAGAGCTTACACAAGCCCTGAATGTATCCGTAATGCTCTGATGGTGAGATATATTTTATATATTCTGCACATTCAGCTTAAAACAAGGACGTGCAATGTTTTCCTTGGCCTTCTGATTGTGGGTCTGGTGACTGCTTAACACAGCAAGGAGATGAAGCTGGGGCCGCAGGGAGAAAACGTTTCTGTTATAACGAGTCTAATAGGTGTTAAACAAGCTATCACTCAGAAATATCGCCTCCTAAGTTTTTTACTTAGATAGAATTCATACACAACTGTTTAAGATTTATTGTGGATTTGCTCATGTTATAAACATGAAGTTTTACCAGACGTGCTATTGGTTATTGCTTCACATTCAGTAATATTTTATTTAGTTTGAGTGAATGTTTTTAATTTAAATTTCAGGTAAAATCTGAGAATAAAACAATAGGTAGTACTCATGGTGGTAAATAATTATCTGAAAATTGTATTGTAGTTGCCATGCACACAGATCAACATTTGTTTGTCTTATAAAGCACCCCAAAAGAAAACAAAAAACAAAAAAAAAGAAAAAACAGAAAGAGATGCACACGAGTAGCACAAAGAGCTGACTATTCACAAATAAGCCTTTCTGTGTAGGGTGGCAGGAGGACACAGCAGGAGTTAAGCATTAACAGCAGATCTGCAGCTGAACCTTTCTATGATGGTCCTTTGGCTCCCTCTGTTGGTCAAAAAGGAGTAAATAAAGTTGTAGCTGTGGTTTGGACTTTCCATGTCCCATTAGTCACAAGTACCTAAAAGCCATGCAAAGGGGGCAACAAACAAAAGTTATAACAGACATCCTGATGTGTATTGGGATGTGGTAGAAGACTTAAGTAAGATATTTTATTGGAAACTGTCAGATGTGTCAAAAATATTAATGTTCATTACTCAAGTGGAAGTAGAAATCCTACTGTTTAAAAACACTTTTGTAGAAGTTAGAGTATCAAATTAAGCTTTTTACTCAAGTAAAAGTATTAAAGTACCATTTTAAAAACTACTTAAAGTGTAAAGGTAATATTTATAGGTAATATTATTCTGGAGGATAATTCTTAGACTTAATTTTCTTACTTTTATAATTAAATGCAACAGTATCAAATTTAACTTTGCATCATCTTGAAAAG